GAGGTACTTGGAGCCCTAGGGTTGGGGGAGTTCGTGCCAGTGCCAGGTGTTTATTCCCACATGTGTTAAAGATTTGTGAAGCCTGCGATGCTTTTGGGTAAGAACAACGTGGAGCACACAGACCTTTATAGAACGCAAAATTCTTCGTGGTTCTTCCAGCAATCGACTGATCGATCAGGATTGCAGTGGGAGGATAGTTTCGGTTTTTGAGGCTCAATGATGCTTAGATTGCAGATCTGGTTGGCATTGGAATTGGTGTTCTCACTCTATCTGCTCACGTAGTGTCAACCATTAAAGTGGGATAATCAATGATGGTATAGTCGTAGCTACCAGGTGTGCAGCCAACGGTAGTTGCATCTTGAGACAGCGCAGACATGGCCACTAGATTCTAGATATATCTTTTGCAGGTCCTTTCATGTTTGACGCCCCCCAACATCACGAAAAAGGCATCCACATACCCTCAGGTCTGCTTCCCGATGCTCTGTTGAGCAAAGGGTCAGACTGCCAACCCAGAAAGGGTCAGACCTCAACCGGTCGACATGTGGGCGACGGGTCGCTTCGACTTCCGCTCCAAAGCACTTCCGGACCAGTTCCGGCTGCCGTTGAGTAGAGAAAGTGGTTGAGTCGAAGCACGACACGTCGACCGATGTTTCTTTGCTGGCACGACACGTCACGCGCAGCTTCAAGTGGCGATTTGTCGCTGATCTCAGAGGCAATTGGTTTGTTTTTGTTTGTCCGTTTTGTTTGAATGGAGGGAGCAGCGATTTGTCGCAGCTGAGGACGCGAACGTCAAGGGCGCGTTGAGCGTTCTTGGCCTCGGATGTCCCACAGCTCCGAGCGTACCTGGCGGGGTCAGGAGCCAGAAACAGATGTTCTGGCCAGGCCTCAAGCCAACCAACAGAGGCTGAAGAACCCTATAGACTATCCCATAGGTACCCCACTAGGGTCCAATAAGATCAATAAGGTCACTTAACCTCTCTTGGAATAGCAGGTAGCTGTCACGTTCTTGTCCGGTCATCAGAGCTGACAGGTCATGGTTGAAGATACAGTTCGAACTGCCAGTCCCTTGATAAGCACTTAGTCGACCAAGCTTTGCAGCATCAACTTCAGCCCGGCACCACCCAAAAACGCACCGCGATCAGCCACCAAAGCCTGCATGTCATCGAAGCATCCTTTGCGCGCTAGTCGACTGGATCGTGTGATTGAGCCCCTCTTCTTCAGTGCTCAATGTGGAACTTCACCAAGCTCCCCCAACCAGCTCTCCCAACCGATGCCCAAAACTCCGTCCGTGTCGCAGAAAGGGACCCTCCTCAGCTTCCGTTGAGAAAGACCTGGCAACGCGGAACCACCTCGGGCTGACCTCGCGGTGCCGCGCGGGCAAGCGAGGCGCCGCGCCCGGTGCATCCACCATCCTGTGACCAGATGATGGCCTCCAAGCGACATCTTGCGACAGACCGTCGACTGTAAGGTACCCCATCGCAGCTAGGTCTCTGATTGGAAGATATTGGAAGCATCGAGACCCAGCCGAGATCGGAGGACATCGGCCGAAATGGGAGTCTTGGACTCAAACTTTGGGCTCTTTGAGGATGGACAGTTGCTTGGACTTGCTTGGATCGATGCAGCCCATTTCACTGATCATGTCACGGAAAAGATGCAAAAGCAAAGAACACACCAGCAGACCAGCACCTTTCGTGTGAGGTCAACATGGCTGGAAACTCCTGTCAACTGGCTTAGGATCTCAGGGGATCAGACAGGACACTCCAGCTCAGGGCATCCAGGCAAACCACGATGTCGCTGGTAACCAGTGGTTCCAAAGACTAAAACCATAGACCTAGAATCCCTGGTTCCTTATATAGTGGCAACTGGGATGCACTGGGCAGGATATAAACACATTCAAGTTAAGCATCCGACCACAGGTTTCCGGCTGCCTCTTGCTCTCCGTTTCAACCGCCTCCTGGCTGTCGCGGAACTGATCTCATCAAGCTGAAGAGCTGCGGAGCCGTACTGTGCCACTGGATGCAGTTTGCCATAGAATCCAGTGAGCCAGACCAAGACACTGAAGTCTTGTGACTGTCCCAACCGGAGTACGGACGTGGGACGTTGGGTTACGTGTTCATTCAATCGGCTGCAGCTTTCTTTACTTTCGAAGAAGGACGTCGCGCGTCGCGGTCACGCGGTGCATCGAATCGTTGCTCGGCATTGGTGCGGAAGCAAAGCGAGGACCTCCACACCTTTCCCAGACACGACCTGTTTGGGACGGCCAGTGACAGCCGATCCAGAAAGAACCCCCAGTCAACCAGCCGACGCCTCACCTGAACGGCACAGATCTGCCCGTCCGTTCGCCCTGCGACCGAACCTCCAAGGGTTGGTGCTCTCCAGTCGTGTCCTGGGCGCCCCCTTCGACTGGTGGAGACGTTGATCTCTGTCGCACCCTTGATAGTGGTGGCCGCCACCGGGGAAGGTGCTTGCGCCCACCGTGAACCGGTGGGGGTAAACCCCAGATTGGGACCCGGTGAAGATGGGAAGTGGGAGGCTTGGAGCTGGCGCAGCCGAATCGAGTCATCGCAACGCCATGTGGAGACCGATCTTGGACATCTTGATGGCTCGGAGCCGGCGCATCGCTGACTCATGACCGGACCGGTGTTGCCCTTACCCCTGTCGCATCCTTTGGTGCACCTGTCGCCTGTCGCCTGCACAAAGCGTAGACTGACCGGTAATTCCGTCGAGTACCAGGTGACAACCACAAAGTGCTTGGTCGATTCATGCTTTGCATTGTCAGTTTCTTTGGAAAGACATGCATGAGCAACTGACAATCATGTTTGCCCACCTGGTACTAGGACTCGTGGCAGGGGATCGGAAGATGTCATTGCATTGTTCATCATGTTTCCTAGAATGTCCACTTCACAGGCCATGTTGTTGACAGCACCTTGATTCAGATGTGAGTTGATACTACAGCTTGGTACTCTGTCAACTGAATGATATTTGGTTCAAGCCTGTCAGGATTTCCCGAGGTGCCTACGACACCCCTCGCTGATGCAAGGGCAGTACCTATAGTATAGATCATGTTGGTGAGCAAAAAAAGGGTCCCTCTGCATGCGGACATCATGTGGCCGTGGAGACAATGACCTCCTGGCCATTGCTTGGGCTCGGAGAGGGATGTGGCCAGCCCAGGCCATCGATCGTGCTGAGCGATATAAGTTTGACTGTGTGGTCAACATGGACTTCGCCCCAAGAACGATCGGGACACATCCTTGCAGATGTGATCCGGAAGCTAAATCCAAGCTCCTTCAGAAATTATCAGCTTCCAAGTGTACACACAGCAGACTCAACTTGCAGATGACTCAAGTGCAGGGCGGTAGAAGGGCAGGGTAGCGATTGGAATGCTGGTGCGATTGGGCAGCCAATGTAACTTCTACTCTAGTTGCTGCTGTAGTTTCTGGAAGATGTACAGCATGCTCTGTAGGCTTGAAGGATTGTCAGGCCACTTCATAAGTATCTCACTGATGGTCAGTGTCCCTCACTCTTCTTACTCTTCAGGCTGAGCAAAGTTAGAGAGCTAGGCGCTGGCCGAGATGGTTTGAGGGCAACTGTCGCTAGCTTGATATGGCGCCCCCCCCCCATGGCCGAAATGAAAACCACCAAAAACCAACTACATTCACCTGTAGCCCATAGTTGTAGTCTCAGACAGGTCGCATTTAGTGGAAGAAGCTCTTCCTCGCCCGTCCTCGGTCACACTGTGATCTTGAGACGGGACCATGGCGCTGACCATGGCACTGAGACCACTGAGGTGAGACCTGTCCTTGAAACAACACACCCCTGCGAAGGTTCAGAGACAGCGCCGAAGGGCGCTTGCAAGAGTTCGAAGGAAGGTTGGACTACGTGAGAATGCCAGACTATTGCTTGGATTTGTTGACGGAATGCAGCCGTCACTGACCATGTCACTGAAAAAAGACGTGTTTGGCAAAGCAAGAGGCCCTCTTGCTGGGTGAACTAGCCTTCAAAGAACTTTCGAAGTTCCCTAGGGCTCCTGGCCCACATCCTCAGGAGGTATGACTGGACCCTCCAAACCCACCCCAGTCCCACCTTCTCAGGAGGTGGTTGGAGCCCTAGGGGTTGTGAAAGCATCCCACCACAGGTTCAGCTGTTTGCGTGACACCGGAAGAAGGGTCAAAGGAAGTGCCGCTGGCAGACAGTGGTGTGCTACTGGACTGGGTTTGTGGATGCAGCCAAGGCTGAAGTGAACTCATCTAGCTAAAGAGCTGTAATCCAAGACCACGGAGTTCGGGTGGTTGATGGAGACCCCTGACTTTGTGTCTTTTCCATCCAATAACCACCCCACCACCGTGGTCCTGGATGTGGTGTTCCACTGGCAGCTGGAATCCCAGTCAGGGACAGATGCTGAAGTGTGACGGTCCCCACAGTGACCCCCCTGACACGTGCAAGAAGAACGGCTTGACCCGACCTGACGCGGCTTGACCAGCGGCCCGGGGTGGCGTTTCGGACCCACCAGGTGACATCGACCGCCTTTGGGACCGGCCTCCCAGGGGAGCGGCCGCGTGGACCACAGACAGACCGACTGGCCAGACCGAGTGCTGATGTCTTTCACCCAGTGAGGCCAAGTGGAGCTAGGTCGGTTCCGGGACGAGTGCAGTTCTCGAGAATGGTCGGTGACGGGCTTGAAGCAAGAGATAGCCTCGCTTTAGAGGCTGGGGATACGAATTAGTTCACATGCCGATTTTGACCTGTTTTGGAATGAGCGATACAATGTGGTCTAGACCAGTCTCGTGACTAAAGTGAATCACTGAAATCAAGCAACCGAGGTGCCAGCAGCTTCACTGAACATCTATGGCACTGACAAAAACCTCACTCGTCCGGAGAATGTTGAGGCCCCGAAGATGCAGCTGAAATTGCGGTGGTCAATATCTTTGAATGTACGGCCTTGGAATTGGATCACATGCTGTGGTTCTTGGACCCCTCTCATTTGATGTAGATGGAGGTATATGTCCTCCCCTTCACATTGTTGGAGTGGGGGGGTTTGGAAATGCCACTCAAATGGTGGTGCCAGCCCCGTCACGCTGGATTTCCACAGACCTGCCACACGTCAGATGCCGCACGTCAGATCTGCTGTAGATCATGCTGTGTGGTGTACGGGTCCCTCGGCATGCGGACATCACGTGGCCGTGGAGACAATGACCTCCTGGCCATTGCTTGGGCTCGGAGAGGGATGTGGCCAGCCCAGGCCATCGATCGTGCTGATCGATATAAGTTTGACTGTGTGGTCAACATGGACTTCGCCCCAAGAACGATCGGGACACATCCTTGCAGATGTGATCCGGAAGCTAAATCCAAGCTGCTTCAAGAGTCTCCAAACAGCCCGACTGGTCCAAAACCATATCCCCTACACCTCCAGTCGTACCTCCTCAGAGGTATGACTGGACCCACCGAACCCTCAGAGCGACTGAAGCCCTAGGGTATGAGACACCAGACCCTCCAGACGTTTGGCTGTGTGACACGGCGACACGGCGACAGCACGAGCGCCGCAGGGAGCCGCAGGGTACATTGGAATGTGAAGTCTTAAGGTGACAGCCAATGTGTGACTTCTACTGGTTGTAGTTGGAAGATTTATAGCTTAAGCTTTGTGGGCTTGGAGGATGGAGGTCTCATGGGAGATCACTTGCTTTCGTCCCAGCGGCTTCTCGCCAAACACGCTCCGCACGCCTTCTCGCGCCCCGTAGTGCGGTTCACTTGGTTTGAGTCTGACATCATTTGAAATCACCTCACGTTAAATCCAAGGGTTCTTCGGAAAAGACGAATCACTCAATTCGGTGCTTTATTCAATCCAAAGGCAGCCTCCGTCGACTGATAAACAATGGTAAACAGGGATTTTGAAGGAGGCGAAGGAACGATGCAATCGTTGGTCTTGTTCTCTGGAGATTTGTTTGGATTTGTTGACGGAATGCAGCCGTCACTGACCTTGTCACTGAAAAAAAGGACACACACCACGTGTTTTTGGCACAAACATAAATGCCCGCCCTCTGAACCTGGGTGGTGAACGAGCTTCGATGCGGGGTTCGAACAGTCGGTCAGTCTGCACGCGCGGCACGCGCATTCCCCTTGATTGTCCTCATAGTTCATACGCTCCGTTCACAGCCCGACTGGTCCCGGACAAGCCAAAAAAGGGATATCGGTTCGACCCCAGACCATCCCAGACCCCTCAAGATTCGGGTTCAGCGTCTGGGGAGTTCACACGCTTCACTGGATTGTCTCTCTTCTGTTCAGTCTGAACCTTCGAGGAACAGCTTTCTTTCGCCCCTGCGCAACGTGCTCGGCTGCCCTCGTCGTGGGCCTCGTCGTGCGGTCCCCAATGAAATAGAGAGAGGAACGGTTTTCAAGAGATTCTGAACGTGGGCTTCTACCCTTCTTGATCTCTTTGGGGGTCAAGCAAACCTCCGGCGACAGCGTCGATGGCGACAGCTGGGTATCGCTGGGTCTTGATGCGGAGTGGTGTGCCACTGGATCCTCGGATGGAGTGGGTCGTCGCCAGTGAGAGAGATGGAGATGCCGAAGTTTGGGCGACTGTCCCATGTCTCCATTGATTCAACATATGCCGCGTTTTCCGGTTTTTGGAGAGAAGACAATGTGATCAACGGACGTTTTCAGCAAGGCTCGTTTTATTGACCCACTTCAACTGTTCTGGATTGGGCGATGTGTTCGATGCTGATAGACATGGGTGCCCACTGAGAGAGCCATGTGGATTCTGGAACTAGCGCAGGTCTCCCAGGGAATTCGGGTCGGTTGCAGGCCTGAAGCAAAGGATTTCTCTCTGTAGAGTCTCAGATGATTTCTTTTATTACAATGTGATCTTACAACACTTTGGTATAGTTTTTGTTCAATGAAATCAAGCCAGCCAAGCAATAGAGGTACCTGCAACGTCCTTTAGCACAGATGAAACAAGTAACTACTTTATGCAGTGGATGCTGTTGTTTGGCAAGGACCTCTCGCGATTCAACATCATGCTGCTGTGGACATGTTCGCTGCATCCAGGAAGATGTGGCGTAAGCAAAGTGAGTAAACACAAGTAAACTCTTTGATTCTTTGCTTGTTCATGTGTCTACATGTGCTTGCTTCATGTTGCTTCTATTTTCGAGTGCGTAAGTTCATGTTCTGGTGTGGTGCAGAAAGCTTAAGCACGTCATGTCCCCTGCATGGTGCAAGAGCTGAAAAGGTGAGTTGCGTAAGTGAAGCATAAGATCTTGTGTATAATTAAGCAGTTCCTTACGACCCTTGTCTCCAAACAAAAGCTAGCCAATCAAGGCTCAAACGAAGATCGCATAGTTGATGGTGCGCCGTGGAATACAAACGGCGCTGAGTGCAAAGATGTGCAAAGATGCCAGCTTCTTCCATGTCAAAGGTCGTTTGGTGCCTCCACCATGCTTCCTACTTTCCCAGAACAAGTTTGTCGCACTCCGCCCGAACTGAAGAGCTCAGAGCCGCAAAGCAGAACGTTCCATCCACCACGCGCACCCTTCGTGTCGCGCTGTTTGCGTTAGCTTGGTCATATCGCTCCTCACGTCACATGGGAGTGCGTCAGCTGAAGCAAAGTATCTCAGACGTTGAAGAACTGATTAGATTCCGGTTTTGGGAGAGAGCCATTGAATATAGACATGCGGCATGCGGACATTGTTTCTTTGGCGAGTCTGACAACGCGACAAGCCAAAGGCTGCCGACGGCTCAAACGCTGTTTCTTGGCGACGACGTGTCGTCCTGCAGGCCCTTGAGACATGTTGGTCAAAGAATTCGGGTCGGTCGCGGGCCTGAAGCAAAGGATTTCTCTCTGTAGAGTCTCAGATGATTTCTCTTGTTACAATGTGATCTTACGACACTTTGGTATAGTTTTTGTTCAATGAAATCAAGTTGGCACAGATGAAACAAGTAACTACTTTATGCAGTGGATGCTGTTGTTTGGCAAGGACCTCTCGCCATTCAACATCATGCTGCTGTGGACATGTTCGCTGCATCCAGGAAGATGTGGCGTAAGCAAAGTGAGTAAACACAAGTAAACTCTTTGATTCTTTGCTTGTTCATGTGTCTACATATGTTTGCTTCATTTTGCTTCTATTTTCGAGTGCGTAAGTTCATGTTCTGGTGTGGTGCAGAAAGCTTAAGCACATCATGTCCCCTGCATGGTGCAAAAGCTGAAAAGGTGAGTTGCGTAAGTGAAGCATAAGATCTTGTGTATAATTAAGCAGTTCCTTACGACCCTTGTCTCCAAACAAAAGCTAGCCAATCAAGGCTCAAACGAAGATCGCATAGTTGATGGTGCGCCGTGGAATACAAACGGCGCTGAGTGCAAAGATGTGCAAAGATGCCAGCTTCTTCCATGTCAATGGTCGTTTGGTGCCTCCACCATGCTTCCTACTTTCCCAGAACAAGTTTGTCGCACTCCGCCCGAACTGAAGAGCTCAGAGCCGCAAAGCAGAACGTTCCATCCACCACGCACACCCTTCGTGTCGCGCTGTTTGCGTTGGCTTGGTCATATCGCTCCTCACGTCACATGGGAGTGCGTCAGCTGAAGCAAAGTATCTCAGACGTTGAAGAACTGATTAGATTCCGGTTTTGGGAGAGAGCCATTGAATATAGAATAATATAGACATGCGGCATGCGGACATTGTTTCTTTGGCGAGTCTGACAACGCGACAAGCCAAAGGCTGCCGATGGCTGCCGACGCTGTTTCGACGACGTGTCGTCCGGCGACGGCCCTTGAGACGACATGTTGGTCAAGTGAACGGTTTGTTTTGAATGTTTGGGTGCGGTCTGACACGGCACCACCTTGACTTGCTCACTCAGCTATGACTTGCAGGTCATGCAGATTGGTTGTCTGAATGCTGATCTTGTAGGTCTTGGGTGCGGAGCAGGTTCTGGATCTTCATTTTCCAGCGCCTCCAAGCCACCAAGCCATCTATTGAAGCTCTTATTTAGTGCAGGAGGCAAGTAAGTGTAGCTGCTTGCTGGAAGCAGCCGAAGCTACAGGGAGTTCCCCACAACCCCGACAGCTTAGTAAAGCGAGCAACCCGATGGGCCGCTGCTTGAAGAGTGGCCATTTTCACATGTTGTGCCATGCTGGGAACTGCCAGGTTCAACTTTGCATGGCAGGTGTTCAGGTTCTTTGCCAGCAAAAGAGGTTCATCATGCTCATAAGGACATGAGGAGTCTTCTTTCTGCGGAAACTACTTCTACTTGTGAGGCTAGCTGACAGATGAGAGGCCTTGACATGCGTCCATTTGACAGTCCCTCTCTTCGTGCAGCGGTCGGACCGATCGAGTGCAGCTCTTTCGCGTTTGCAGCGGCCAGACCTGTCATTCACCAGTTGACGGTCAAACCGGACTGATGCGTTATGCCGATGGCATTTGATCAGACTTCCCTTTGTCATGCGCTGTTGAAGTCAGAGGAGCATTGTATAGGTTAATTGAAAGACATAACTCGGAAACACTTCAGAAAGGTATTTGGTGATTGCTGCTGTTCAGCAGTGTTATGTTTCAAGCTTTGTGGGCAGTGGTGTCCGACAAGCAGAAAGTAATGCTGCCATGAAAACAACGGACACCATGCTGCCAACGCATGCTGCACATGCATGTGATACCTCCATAGTGTGATGTTGTGACCTGTGGGAAGGGCGGGAAGGGCTTGATCTCCGCTCCAGAGCAGGTCGCCAGGCAAGCAAGGCTTGATATCTCCCAGTTCAAAACCACATGGACAATGCAGAATTTGCATGTGCAGAATGCGCTCCTTTTTTCAAAACCGGCCTGTGCATGTTGGACTGAACAGCACGAGTTCTGGACAGTATCTCACAGTGTGTTTGCATATTTGCAAACGAAACCGTAGCTGGATTGGCTGGATGATAGACTTGCCTTTATGCGTTTGTTTGGACAAGATGCCCATGACCTGCAACCTGTCCTTGTAGAACACAGCCCGCCAATCGAGTGACTGATTTGCCAGCGACGCTTTTGGAAACTTCAGTTCGGTAGTTTTTCGGCGTGGAAATCCAGATCTTGCTTTCGCTCGTGCTTCGTGCGCAGGGTACGCCACTTCCACCGCAAGTCCTATTCAGGAAAGTCAGTGAATCAACCTTTGAAGCGTTTTTGGAGATTGGAAACCAAAAAACCCACCGACTCCATGTTGAACGATCAGAAAGAAACCCCTCGTCAAAACGATCTTCATCCCTTTTTTCCGCAGATTCGGATGGAGATCCGTTTGCCTTCACCGGCCCGCTCGGTGGAAGAGTCTCCACGAGTCCAGGACACAGAGACGAGAGTCGGCCGACCGGTCTGATAGCTGAGTCCTCATCCCGCTTGATGCGACCGGTTTCATGTTGACGGACGACACTGCCATGCTGGGAGGTCGACCCGCGCCGTGCGACAGGTCTGCGACGTTTCTCCATCTCCGATCTACAAGACCCGCGAGACTGGCCGCGACCACATCGATGTTAGCTGGACATGCCCTGACCAGTTGTGCTTTGCAGCGAGAATTTGGGTAGGGGGCAAGATGATGCAACGACCAAGCGGTAAATGAGTTGTCCATATATGTCCAAAAGCATGTGGAGCAGTGCAGACTATCCCTCACTGAAGCTGGTTCAAAGCAATCAGGCTCTGATGCCTAAATCGAAACCATGTTGTAGGCGTTGTAGGTACATGTTAATTACATCAACGTTGCGACCACATCGGCTGTGATGCAAAAGGCCTTTTCGGAGCTCCTGAGGGATGACTATGAGGAAGAGTTAAGTCAGTTTTTCGTCAATTTCACCGGTTTTGCTTCACCCTAGGGATCCAAGTACCTTCTCAGGTACGGTGATTGGAGACACTCTTATGTAGCTTTTGAGGGTCCAGTCGTACCTTAGGAGGTTTCCGTACGACTAGATCCCTTAGGGTAAGTGGGGGTTCTCATTTTTATTGAGTGAATCCTGTTCTGGGAAATGTGTTTTTTTGTTTCCACGGTTCTTGCAGCAAATTTAAGAGACCTGGTCTGACAAGGAATGACACCATTTTCAGGAACTGACCGGACTCAGTTCGTCCAAATATCATCGGACTGGGCTGAAAGAGTCAAATTTCCAAGCTCAAAGGATCCAAGGGACTGGGAAGAGTTACACTCCCGAGTCAACTCACATAGACCCTGACGTCCTGGCCCCCAGCTTTAGAGTGTTTTCCTCTACCAAGCGATGTGGTGTACTCAGGGTCCATGTTAGTCTCGTCTCGTCTCGTGTTTTTAGGGTGTAGCAACATTCACCCAATTTTGACCCTAAAGACTAAGAGATCTTCAAATCACCGCACTGGCCTCCAACGGCAGGGACTGACGGTGACGACGACGTATAACGGCACCACTCCTTTGAGGAGGCACCGCAGAAGTGGCTTGCCCGGAGATGTGCCCGGTCTGGCGCGGAGAAGGTTCAACAAAAGATCTCGTAAGGTTCTGAGGCTCAACTAAAGGTCTCGTATGGGAAGAGAGGTGTGTCATCATCCATTTCAGCATTTCGAACTTGCAATGCATACCAACTGAAACATGTGCTTTCCCACATGGGCGAAGGGACCTTGAGCAACCCTATGGCACGACCACTCTCTTGTGTTCAAAAGTGGGGTCATCCACTAAAGGTTACTCTATGTGTTTAAATGCTTTTAAAACCCACAACCCCCCCCAAAGCAAAGGACCTTAGGATGACCACCCCTGCCATGGTGCGAGTGTTGGTCCTGGTCATGGGGCAGTGCTGGGAGGTTTTTGTTGCAATCTTTGGGCCACTTTTTGTCAGGCTCCGAGCGGTTTTCAGTTTCCAACACCTACTTGAATGCAAGTACCTGGAGTCTCAAGTACCTCCGGACATGGGGACAAGTACCTGGTTTTATGGGGTCATGTCCCATTTTCTAAGGTACTTTGGAAGGGCCAGGTACCTTTTTCTGCTGGGGAACTCTGAACTCATTCCGGAAAGTCAGACATTTGTTGATTTGGACGGAAAAATGTAACCCGCCCTTAGGCTTACGGAGATTGCGGCGTGCTTTGCCACGCCCTGCAGACAGCATCATGAGAAGATAGAACAACAAAGACACTCCACAATGACAGCAATGCACAGGGACAATGGCAGGAATGACAAGAGCAGGAACAGGCCACTAATTACTTACTAGTACAGCAACTACAAGCAGCATGCTAACATCATATGCCCCTGAAAATGGTTTGGTCAAAACAGCCTCCTTGCCAGTCGATAGCTTGAAACATATAGAAACAGCCGTTAAGCTGCAACTCCTGTTTTGGGCCGCGAGCTGCGAAGTCAGGGTGACATGACATCCTACTATGTGCAAGGTACAAAGTGTACATATTACATGGAGTGAAAATACACCCCCCTCAGCTAAGGTAGCTTTGCTCCCGAAGCTGGACGCGGAAAGTGCACGAGGGCTTGTGCAGGGCACGACAGTGATGTCGGCTCAAAGCTGCATGGCAGTTATGGATGCTAGCAATCCACTGCCTACGTGGCCCTGTACGTGCATTTTAATTATTCACTCCCCGCCGCCAAAAGAAATTGAAAGTTTGGACTTGGGAGGAAAACCGCATATATATTGACAATGGATGTCATGCAATGAATTATGCTCGCTCAGGCAAAAAGGTTGAGACTTGGCTCAACTAACGCCAATGCCACTGGCTCCGACTCGAGCTCCAGTCCCACGAGCGGCGGTCCCACTGCCGCTGCTCGCCCCACTCGCTCCAGTTCCATGAGCTCCATCCCCACGAGGACGATGCTGATCCGGATGCACGTGGGCTCACCGGTGAAGGTGGCGGACCTCCCTTTGCCTTTGAAGCTGGACCATCACCTCCGGTAGAGGACTTGCGCTTGCCCTTGCTCTGCTGCTGGCGCTGCTCTTGAGTCTGCTTGTTAACCACGTCACGCCTGGCAGCGGAGAGGTTGTCGTGGCATAGTTGGCGAAGCTCCTCCAATGCGCAGTATTGGCTCATCTGATGCACACCGTCCCAAGCCAAAAGGCCGCGATGGGAGTCGGGTGAGTTGAGGTACTCGATGTACTCGCGCAAGGAGAGGATGTTGGTGCGATAGATTACGCACCATTGCTCAGGAATGTAGTCCATGGCTTGTGGATAGCGATCGGGCGCTACGTCGATGTAGGCCAGCCGTGCCAGAGAATGATCTTCGTCATATCCAAGGCCCAGGCTGACTTGCGCTTTGTTGCGCGGCGGGTTCGCCAAGTGAGCATGGCAAAGCCAATCCTGCCGCTGCGCTGCCCGATGATCATAGCCCATTTGCAGCATTCGTTCCATGAACTGGACGTCATGCTCGAAGCGATCCTCGATGCTCTGGAAGCCACACTTGTCTGCACGCTTCATCCGGCTGCGAGCGTCTTGGATCATGATCGCTTCTGGGCTCATGTTTCCACGGCCGCTTGCAGACACCACACGCAGATTGAGGCCAGCCTTGATGTAGTCACTGACTGGGCACTCGGTGCGAGCGAGGCCGGCCCTCGCAAGCTGCTGCTTTCGGAGAACTGAGAGTCTGGTAACAGCTTCCTCCGGCAGTTCGGTGTTGGTGGCAAGTTCGGCTGAACAAATGTCACAGTGGGTCATGCCCCTAAGGACTAGACCCTTGCATTGGCTGCATTCAACCTGGATCACCGTCAGCTTGCGTCCCTTTCGAAGTGTTGGGGCGGTGATCGGCGCATCAAAGCCAGGTGGAGGCCCCGCAGGCTCAGGCGGAGCGTACCCGCTGTAAGATGCTGCAGGTTGCTCTTGCTCTGCCACATTCTCGATGGAAGTAGGTGGAGTCGAAGGTGCAGCCTTTCTTGCAGGTGCCGATTTGCTGGTTGCCGTCAGGGAAACAGGCATTGCTTTTGCGGTTGGCCGGGGCTCGCCAGTGACGGCGGCCCGGCTCTCACCTCCATCCGCTGGAGCAGCCTCGGGTAGGCCAACGGCGCTTACCCTGGTCCAGAGTGTGGACTGGCTTTCGGTGTTTTCGACGGAGACAATGTATTCTGGAGGTACCGTGTCAACCGTCATGATCCCACCGGAGCGGTTCTGGAAAAAGATGAGACCGCCATCGACTGCTTCCCGAAGTGCAACGGTAAGCTGAATAGGGTGCTTGCCGCGGAGACCGCTTTGATAGTCGGTCTCCGTAATGCGGTTTGCAGCCAGGTAGACATGGGCTCGATCGCTGCCAACAAACTCGCCCCCGCCTGGGATAAGGCCCTCCTTGACGATCCGCTTCCAGCACGCTGGCCTCGTGCGGTGGTAGGCCAAGGCAGGGATCTCATCCGCTTTGGCGATGGGCTTCCCAATGAAGGGAGCTTTGGCTTCTGGCCTGAGCGCAGGACTGCAGTACATCAGGGCTGCCGATCTGTAATTGTCCTGTGCGCTCTTGATCGCGTGCTTGCTTTGGCCAGCAGCGGCACGCATCTTCAGAGGCCATAGTGCCACACCCTTCTCCTCGAGTTTGTGCCCTTCTCGAATGCCCAAAAACTCAAATCGGTTTTTCTTGTCCTTTGCTGCTATGGCGATCAAGTCTTTGACGGTGAGCGGCGGGGCACTGCGGTGATTCAGGCCGAAACACCTGGCTACTTCGTCCAAGTCTGCGTAGCCATCTTCGTCAACCTCAAGGCCCAGATATTGGTCATGTTGTCGAACAACTTTGGATAACTGGGTGAGCCAATCCTTGAGGGGCTTCGCGAAGAAAAGGTGCCCGCCATTGAGCTCCCATCCGCTCGCAAAGTGGAGCGGCAATTGCTTGTCGC